TTCAAGAGGGGGGTGTCTCCAAACATGAAAATAGGTAACACGAGGTTCGCAACCATAACAAGCACGCACTCATCGCATGTCATTAAGGCCACCAAACAGCCCCCACAAAGGGTATGAAAAACATGCATTTCATCGAACACCTTGTGGGCGTGAATGAAAAACATAAGAAAAACACCAAATTCACCATACAAGGGCTCTATCGATCGAAAAACACAATTGACAACATGCCTAATAGTCAACCCTAGCCTTCCCCTCAACCAATTTCAATACATTTCATACATGCAATTCGATTCTCTAACGAAATACCCTAACACCCAATTCTCCAAAATTCACAAGGTAGAAGGCAAAATCAAAACATGGAGACACAAGTAGAGGTGTAGGGGAAGGCAATAAAAGTGACAAATCGCCGAAATTCTGCCCGAAAGTTGCTCGTCGGAGCCTCGCCGGAAATCGCCTCCGGCGACCCAAACCCGAGCCAAAGCAGCCAAAAAATGGGAGGATAGGAAGATCAGATGTGGGAAAGAATGGTTCTGCAATTGGTTAAGGGAAAAAAGAACCGAAAATGGTCGAAAATCGACAGGAGAAGTTGGAAAATCGTGATTTTTCGGCGAGGGGGAGAGGATTCCTGCGAAGGGGGAAGGTTTTCTGGCAATGCACAGCCGTGCGACCACTATTTTATAGGCGTCGTGCGCACCGCACGGCCGTGAAGGTACAAAACTTGTCATGCCTATCACGCGGGTTCGTCATCTACACATGGCACTACTGCATTGATAATAAAGACAAATAAAAAGCTAGCACAAAACGCTCCCATTTTCTTCTTTGTTTCTTCTTCACTTCAAAGACTTGCAGTCTCCTCTATTTCATCAGCACTGCTTCATTAAGCCTTCATTTCTTCATGGTTCTGGCTCTTTGAATGTTGCTCTAACACACCCTATCACTGAGCTCCACCACTGCTGCCATTCTAAAAGCTAATGGATCCAGGTCGAACAAACATCGACCACATTCACTAAGCCATGGTTCCTAATCCATTTAATTCCATACTTTTACGTTTTGACTCTAATTATTAATCTCCTTCCCTCCCTATCAGATTCCCAGTTTGTACTTTAATTTTTCACCTTCTTAGTTTCCTTTCTCCATCCCAAACCAAGGAAAACTATGAGCTGGTGGTGGGCAGGTGCCATCGGCGTTACTAGGGTAAATTAATCATCAATCCCAATAATCCCATCCCAACTGCCGTCCCTTCTAATCCATTCTCCTATCTCCCAACCGCCGTCCCAGCATGCCATCGGCGTTGTAGAAGAAACGTTCATCGAGGACCTGCCCAGTTTGAGATCCCCCAATTTTTTACTACTCCCTAGAAGAAGTCTTGTTCGAGGAGATGACGGCGAGTAAACAAGTTCGGCCGCTGTTGTTGTCCGTCCACCGTCCGGGGCAGATATGGGGATTCTCGCCATACAGTTTGATGAACTTAATCTGATATGTGTGTTTATGCCTGAATCTGTCAGGACGAAGGAAACCAATGATTTTCCCCATATCGGAATCGGCGTGGAAAGGTTACTCGACGGTGCCCAACACAGATCTGATGGCGGAGCACCAGATCTGGGCGGCACCCGACGCGGATCTGGTGGTGTTGGAATGCGAATGACGAGGTGTTTAACGTGATGAATGGGGATGCATTCAAGTGAAAGCAGCTGTGGAAAGTACTAGCGGAGTAGTTCGAGATCGAAACGCAAGGGTTGGAGGCAGGGGGAGCCAGCGGCGGGTGGGGCTGGCGGAGATGAAGAAGGGTAAGGAGAAGGTATGGGAGGAGATCGTGAGTAAGAACGATCTTGTGGCGACGAAGTTGGAGGAGGTTGGGAATTGGTGGTACATGGATGAGGTGTTCAACGGGGATGGCGAAGGCAGGGAGCTCGGTGATAAAGCGTGGTTCTGAGAGGGGTAGGTGTGGTTATAGGAGCATTTCTCTAGGAAGAGAAGGATTAAATTACATTTGATAATTATATAATTTTTTTTGATTTATTTATGTTATTCTCAAAATGAGTTGGAAATTGTAAAAGATTAAATTAAATTTTATTTATTATTTTTTAATTGCCATGTCATTTAGTTAACGGTCAATTTTGAAAGTTGACTGCCACATAAGATAAAGTTAACAGAATTTGACAGATAGTGACCAAATTTGGAACATTTAACTAATTTTAGTGACCACGAACAAAATTATATTTTTAATGACCAAACATGAATCTTTTTAGTAAACTTAGTGACCAACCTTGCAATTTACCTTTAAATAAAGCATACAGATTTCCATAAGAAAACGTACACTGTTGACTTTTCCCCCAGTAACATTAAACTTCATTCTATCACCGAATTAGTTATACGAGTCATATGCTTAAAATAAATTAAAAAAATAGTAATATGAAATTATGATCTGTTTTTTATGTCCATTGTATTCTATTTTGGATTCTATATTGAATGTTACATTAAGAGCTATTAATCTCCAAACATTGATCATGAGAATGATTCTTGTTCATGACTACTATTTGACATTCACCCAACGATTTTTTAGTGTGCAATGCCTCATGGTCATTCTTCTCTTGTTGCTAATGTTCGAGGTATATCAATTCACCTAAATATTTATCACTTTTCGTTTAAAGAGAAAATGAAATATACAAATGAAATGTTGATAATATAGTTTGACGAATTTTTTTGAGAAGGTAAGTTCTGCCTAGGAAGGTAAATTCTACAACCCTTACTTTGATCCCTAAGATAGCTTCTGTAGAAAGAATGGACTTTCATCCGATTTCTAGCTATAATGTCCTTTATAAGGGTATTACGAAGATGTTGGCCAATAGACTTTCCAAATTCTTGCATAAACTCATTGGAAACTCACAATGTGCCTTCATAAAAGGAAATTTGATTTGTGATAACATCTTAATGGCATCCAAGTTGGTTAAGGACTATAATAAGACATCTATAACACCTAGAGGTGTAGTTAAAATTGATTTGATGAAAGGTTTTGACTCGGTGAATCGGAAATTTCTATTTGGAGTCATGAGGGCAAAGGGTATACCTACCTCATTGGTTTGTTACTAGGGTCCAAGTCTGTGTATCTTCACCTATGTTCATTGTCTCATTCAACGGTGGGTTGTGTCACTATTTCTCTAGTGTTAAGGGTCTTAGGCATGGTGACCCTCTTTCTCCCTACTTATTTACGATGGCTATGGAGGTATTCTCATGTTTATTGGTTAAAGCTACAATGGAAGGAAGGATACCTTTTCACCCTTGTTGCAAGTACTTAACCATTTGACTTTTTTTTTTTTTGCAGATGATGTTTTTATCTTCTCTAATGGCACCTTAGAAGCTGTGGAAGGTATTAAGAGGCTTTTACATGATTTTCACTGTCTTTCTAGTCTGAATTGCAATCCGAAGAAGAGTAAGCTTTTCTTTGGGGGTTATTATAGGATGATCAGAAGAATATTGCTACATTGACAGGGTTCCCTCTTGGTGTCTTTCCAGTTAGATACCTCGGGGTGCCCTGATGGCAAACTCACAAAGGGTGATTGTAAAGGGCTTGTGGACAAGATAACTGCCAGAACAAGAGGCCAAAATTCTAAACTTTTGAGCTATGCAGGTCATATAAAGTTGGTTTAATCTGTGATCTCTAACGTTCTGCGTGGATGAGTGTCTTCTTACTTTTGCAAAGTGTGCTTCATGAAATTGAGGTCATCTATAATAACTTCTTATGGGGTGTGGGAGAAAATGTTCTCGGTCTAGAGATCTGGTAGCTTGGGGGTTTGTGGTTTCGTTAAAATCAGAATGGGTTCTAGAGTTAAGAACTTTAAGGTGTGGAATCGTGCTTGTGTTATTAGGCAAATCTGGCATACTCTAGCATGAAGTGGATCTCTTTGGGATATTCACATATGCATGACAATAGTTTACCTAAAACATGTCAATTAACATATTCTAAAATCCTCTCATGCTAATGAAATGAAATACAAATTGCGCAATCGTCAAAATACTATCACAAGAGTAATAGTACTACAAGAAACACATTAACATGTCATTCAAATCCTCGTGATTATTTTTAAACATCTCACCAATTTATGAGCGATTTTATCATTTTGGGAGTGATATATAGAATGGAATGGGTCTAACAGGTTGACCCGCTAATCCACTCAACCCAAAAAATCACGGGTTATTGGATTCGGGTCATTGGGAGTGCGCGTTATAAAAATTTCTACTTTTTGGGTGGTTTCGGGTCGGATTGTAATTTGCCAGGTCTACTCCGAAAAACACCAAGAGGCCTTGCTTAGATCAAACCTGGGATCACACATGAGTTTTGACTATACAAATGTATTTTATAAAAAATAAAAATAAAAAAAACATTTACATCGATCTTCTCTATTAGTATAGTTAGCATACTTAACAGTCCCGTTAAACTTGAGGAGTTTTTTGCATAAAATGATTACATTTGTCCTTATTAAAAAATGATTACATGTAAAAATTATGACTATCCTAATAAAGCAATCGCTACCAACTGACACCGAGGGTGAATTCTCATGACCAAACTATACAGAAGCTATAGGGCCATGCAGCCTTTTGAGCCATTGCGTCGGCAAGTCACTTACCGAACATGTCATCTTCACACAAACCGAAAGCACTTAATTAAACAACACCGAAGCCTGCATGTCCCTGCGGCACAATTGAAAAAGGAAATCTAGCAAGAGCTCGAACCACTTTCCATACTTAAATTGCGTTGAAGTGATCCTTGAGAAGAACTAAACTTCCTTCCAAGAGGCCACGCCTAACCCACCTAATCTAGAAGAACAAAAGAAACAAGTTAGTTCCTAGTGGTTCAACTCCAGAAGACCCTTATCTCCATTCTGTTTCCTGCCCGCCAAAATATAAACAAATCAAGCAGCTAGCCACCTCGATCCATCGTGGTTAATTCGTGGCGAATTAACTACACACGTATCAATATGGAGAGACTACTCAAGCTTGGGATGTGTCTAATAGTGCTACTAACGACGACGATGGTTCCAGTGATGACCAGGGCGCAGATGATCAGCACGCCCTGCACATCGTCAATGATCACCAGCTTCACACCTTGCATCAACTTCGTCACGGGGAGCAGCAGCAACGGGACCTCCCCCGCCGCAAGCTGCTGCGGGGCGCTCAAGGAGCTGGTGGCCGCAAGCATGGACTGCGCTTGTCTTTTGGTGACGGCCAATGTCCCCATTCAGCTGCCCTTCGGCGGCCCTCTCTCCATTCCCCTCCCCAGGCCCTGCAAAATGGCCGTCCCCTTGCGCTGCAAAGGTAGTAACTCTACTTACCTACTACTGCTATTCCAAATCGTTCATTTTCACTAAGGTTACTCGTTGGTCCGCAGCTTCTGGGTCTCCTCTGCCGGCACCTGGGCCGGCTATTTTTGGCCCATCCTCTCCACCTAGTCCTTCTAGCCCACAAGGTATTTTATTTTTTTCAATTAGTCAAAAAAATGTCTCCATATTATCGAGTTTTTTGCTCAAGAAACTTGCTGTGGTTTATGTGGCAGCTTCGGCGGCAGCAGATGCGCCAGCTTCACATTCCACGGGGACCCTGCCACTTTCGCCCCCGGCAATCTCGCCGGAAGCTGGTGACCCCACCGACGGGACTCTACCTTTTGTTAACACCTCGGAGTCCGTTTCATCACACGACGTGCCACCGGCGGCTTTCCTGCTAATAACTATGGCGATCATACTAGTAACTTATAATTGTTTCTAATGAAACAATCATACCAAGATGATGTTTCGTACTCGATCGACCTTTGATTTCCGAACTTTGAATAAATTGCTCTAAACTCTCGAATAACTACTCTTGTTCTTTATGGTGAGAAGAGCAATTATAAATTGACTATAAATTAACTACTAAACTAAATAAAGAAATTGGCAAGCAATATAGCTGAGTTTCTCGTTCATCAACGATAATATCAACTAGTTGTATAAATACATATATAAGTAGGCACTAGGCACTAGCCTAAAATAATTCAAGTTATCAACTAAGTTGGTAGCAAACTAAACCTAGTTTTACAAGCAGATACATTAATGGGAATAAATTTTTTTTTCCGACTATAGCTATCAAAGAAAGTTTATTGATTTTCTCTAATAATCTTCATCCTCTTATCCATTTTGATCAACTAAACGGTATTAATGTTGAAATTAGTAGGTAAAGTTAATTTTAATAATTAATTGTGGTGGATGGTAAAATTTTAACAATTTAACATTAAATTTGGGGCTAAATTGCAAGTTTGGTCACTCGAATTGCTACAAAATTTCACGTTTGGTCACTCGAATTCGTTTATTCCATTCGTAGTCACTTAAATTAGTTGAACAGTCCAAGTTTGGTCACTCTCCGTTAACCTCCGTCAGACTCCGTTAGTGCCGTCAGTTAACTGATGACGTGGCTAACAGAGATGCCTAATCACCCAATTTTAACCTAAGAAAAAACAAAAATTGACCCGCCACGTCAGAAAAACATGACACCTCATATAAACACAACCCAACCCACCCAACCTAAAAAAAACCATTAACCCACCCAGAAATCGAACCCGTGACCCATCCACCCTTCTTCTTCTTCCTCTATACCCTGCTTCCACCGCCGCCGGGAGATTTCCCCTCGATCTTCCTGCTGCAACCCCGTCGCCGGATCCAGATTCGCGAGAAAGAAGAAAGACGAAGGTTGCTAGGGAACATGCGTTTGTTCAAATGAAGGAAGGAGATTTATTCGACAACTTCTGAAACCTCACTCCAACCATCATTAGAAAACATTGTTCATTTGTTCAATGAAGGAAGCAGGAGATTATCCCACAAATTATGAAAAGATTTCACAAATCAAGATCATACACAAGCAAACGCACATAGTAATCAGATGTGTGTGGGTATATATATGTAATGGACCAGCCACTGCCACACTTTTCCACCTCCTTACCGTCGCTCAAATCAAACCCTAGCTCGTGTTCTCGCAATCCCCAGAAACGAGATCCATGAAAATCCATCATTCCTTCCACTACGGGCTAGGCGTATCGAACGACGGGTTGGGATGAGCATCGGGGACTATGACGAACGTCGATTACTAGCTAGGGGTTGGCTCTTGATTCGGTCGGCAGCGACCAAAAAGCGCGATGATGCCGAGAGAGTGGTGGTCGACACAGAAAGACCCGGACGTGCTCGTTATTGACCGTCAGGAGCAGCATCAGGCGGCGGTTCGGGGAGCAAGCTCCGGCAGCTGAGACTAACAGAACTGACCGGATTCATGATTATGGCGGCTGGGGCTGCAGCAGGGAGATCGAGGGAAAATCCCTCCGACGGCGGCAGAAGCAGGGTATAGAGGAAGAAGAAGGGTGGATGGGTCACGGGTTCGATTTCTGGGTTGGTTGATGGTTTTTTTTAGGTTGAGTGGGTTGGGTTGTGTTTATATGAGGTTGCATGTTTTTCTGACGTGGCGGGTCAATTTCAGTTTTTTCTTGGGTTAAAATTGGGTGACTAGACATCTCTATTAGCCACGTCAGCAGTTAACTGACGGCACTAACGGAGTCTGACGGAGGTTAACGGAGAGTGACCGAACTTGGACTGTTCAACTAATTTAAGTGACTACGAATGGAATAAACAAATTCGAGTGACCAAACATGAAATTTTGTAGCAATTCGAGTGACCAAACTTGCAATTTAGCCTTAAATTTGGGGTTTATAGAAAACCTCATTAGCTTACTTGTTGGAATTGTTAAAAGTGGTAATCCACAATTCACTAGAACCAACTAAATCACCTCATCTCTATCCAATCCCCAAATACCTACAATAAGTACACTAAAATAATAAAAATAAAGTTAGTCACATGTTAAACCTACCAATAATAATTAAGCAAATAATATATCACAACTACCACTAGTAAGTTTGGAAGAATTCCATCCACATATCAAATCAAGCTCACCATTATGTAATGGTGGAATGGTTGTATAAATAGTCTCAATTGGAGGCATTGTAAGAGATAAGAGAGTTAGAGCTAATAGCACATTTTGAGACCTTTTTGTAAACGCGAGTATTACCAAGTTGTGTGAGATATAAATATATATTAGAGTGAAATAATTTCCTCCATTTTCGATCCATCTCACCATTTCCATTGTGTTCCAACAATTTTTGTATCAGAGCCGATATCATTTTCCCTTTCCTCCTAAACTATCCTCATATATCCTGCCCAAAAAAATCCCCAAAAAATCATGGCAGCAATCCAGGCGACCACAATGTTCGTAAATACCCCCAGTCAGATTCCAATATTCGAGGGTGAACTCTACGAGTACTGGAGCGAACAAATGGAGACAATCTTCATTGCTCAAGACTTGTGGGATATCGCCCAAGAAGGTCATGAGGAAGTTAAGACGGAGGAAGAATCTGGCAAAATGTCTGAAGCAAAGTTCAAGCAATACAAGATGAATATCTGGAGGAATGCCAATGCCCTATGAATAATTCAATAGGCGGTCAACAAGGCTATATATCCTCGAATTTTTGGCATTAGAAAGGCTAAAAAGGCCAACTACCTACAATAAGTACACTAAAATAATAAAAATAAATTAGCCACATGTTAAACCTACCAATAATAATTAAGCAAATAATATATCACAACTAGCACTAGTAAGCTTGGAAGAATTCCATCACATATCAAACTAAACTCAAAATTATGCAATGGTGATATGATTTTATAAATAGTCTCAATTGGAGGCATTATAAGAGATAAGAGATCTAGAGCTAATAGCATATTTTGAGAGCTCTTTGTAAAGGCAAGAATTGCCAAGTTGTGTGAGATATAAATATATATTAGAGTGAAACAATTTTCTCTATTTTTGATCGATCTCACTATATTTCCGTTGTGCCCCAACAAGAATGAAGGAATTTGACAAAAGAAATAACATAATAAAACCCACTAGAGAAGAAGGGTTAGAATGAAATGTCAGCGATGAGGAGCGCTCACCAACAGAGGAGGCACCTGATGACAAGGATTGATCGAAGAGACAAAATATTGCACAAAAGGCGCTAACATTAGAGAGGGAGAGAGAGAGAGAGAGAGAGAGAGAGAGAGATTGCTGCATTCGAAGATCCCTTGAAGTTTCAACACTTTCAATTTGTTTTTCTTCATATTTGTCGAATAAACGAAGTCAAAAGATAAGCCCAAGAATTTAACCAAATGAGCCACAAAAGATACATTTGTACTAGTATATATGGGCTCTTTTGTTGGGACAGAACTTTTTTGTTACTCTTTGAAGTATCTTCATTGGGCTTTGCCCTTTGTATGTGTCCTTCCATTGGTTTGTTATTATTAATGAATTAATGTGACTAAAAAAACTAGTATTGTTGGGGTGCACGAGGCCGTGCAATACACATGCAACACACACTAGAAAAACTTTTACCATTAGTACTGTATGAGTATAAAAAATAGTCAATTAAACGACGACGTTAATAAATTTATTGATTTCATTTTTTCTCAATATACCAATCAATAAGTCATTCATTGTTCCTACACAAAGTGTGAAACTGTCGCATATAAGAATCATTTAGAAGTGAAGTTTCATACGTTAAAAAATGGAATATTAAGTCACTATACAACATGGTACTCCCATGCCGAGGTTGCATGTAAGTTTACGTAAATTATTTAAAGTTTTTCTTTTATAACCTCATATTTTAGTGATAATGAAGTTTTAAATAGGCGGGAACCTCAATATCTTGAATAATTTAATTACATTTATCATATAATAGTTTATTTATTGGGGTTTTAATGAAAAATGAATATTCTAATGTTTTTCATTGAAATTATACATACCATATGGATCAACCTGCCCCGAACCGTGCCCTTGATAAATTACCCGACCTGCCCATTCGTCATTTCTAGGTATAACAACAGATGAAACACATACGATGCCCATTTGATAAAGAAACTCAAGTTACATGCTTATGTATTATGGGCCATTAGTGACTTCCCGACATATGTTAATTTGTTAGGATGGACCACTACATGTTATAAGGCTTGTCTTTCGTGTCATAAGGACTCTTGTGCCCGACACTTAGGTAATTTGAATAAGATGTGTTGTATGGGTCATAAGCCGTGGTTGCCAATTAATCACAAAAGGAGAAATAATGATATAGGAATCAATGAAAAAAAGGAGATGAGAAATGCACCAAATCTACTATGAGGTGATGAAGTGTTAATGAAATGTCAAACTTTCAAGCAAAGGAATTGTTGGGTACAACACACAAACTTGGGACTATTACCTCTTTTTATCAAAACTAAAAGGTTTTGGGCAATATGAAACCTTTTTTTTTTTGCAATTAGTGGAATGTAGAGGCGGCAACAATAAATAGCTCACTTGAAGGCACAATTCCTTTATTGTTTTCCACAGGAGGTCCGGGAGGCCATTAGGCAAATTCCTTTGCCTAGATTAGCGTGACGGATTAGTTTGGCATGAGAAACCTTCTGGCAGTTATACTATAAATTTGGCATATCACTTGGCATTCCAACGTAATAGAATATTGCGTGGAGCTCGTCTAGATGTTAGTATTTGATATGTTCAATTTTGGAGACTCATATGGGATTTTCCTATACAACCCAAGCTGAAGTTCTTTGTCTATCAAGTTTTGTGTCAAATTTTATCAATCACAGAGACTTTACATATTCGGATAATTGACTGTGATGCAAACTGTCCATTGTATTGGGAAGAGTCTGGGACTTTGCTACATTTGTTTCTCGATAAGGGGGACACCCGTAATTTGGGGTAGTTCTTTAGGCGGGTGGTCGAGCATGATGATTCTCCTAAAGCAATTTTACGGGTGGTTGCGTTACTATGGAGGGTTTGAAAAGCTCAGAATCGGGTTATTCATGACTTGAAGCAAGTGATGGTGAAAGAATGGGTAGTTCAGTATGAGGTTCAGGTTAATGAATGGTGGAGTGTCCCCGCAGGACAGGCTCGACGGGTTGAGGATGTGGTTAGTTCCTTGCAAGGAAGTGGTGGGTTGAGGGTTATAGATGCAGGCTAGGTTGTCTGTTCAGTCGATGGAATGGTGTGGTGCAAGTTCTCATTCAGCAAGTGGTATGGCTCTTAGGGATGTAGGTTAAAATGTGTTGTTAGCCTAGGGTGTAGTCTTTAATGGTGAGGAGGATCCGTTCGTTGCGCAACTAATGACGGTAAGTGATGCTTTTTGATGGTATGTGCATTAGGGCTTGTTATTCCATGCCACTCACCTCATAAATTAGCTTAAACGATGTCGTAGAAAGTAGCTCCTTCGGATTAAGTAAGGGAGGAGAAATAACAAGCAAAGCCTAATTGTTGTCGCCTTCAAACTTGGTCATGGCTTTTGTTGCTCATACTAAAAAAGGTCTTCTTGTCACATCGGTTTATGCGACTGATGTGCCTTAAGGTGCATGCTTACATACTTAATTATCTTATTCGTAGGATTGATTCGATATAATTCATTCTTTTTATGAATGTTACAATGCTGAAGAGGACTACAATAGTTTGATGAGTTCATGGCTTCATGGGTATAGAGTTGTTGTTGGTTGTGCATGTCTTTTACCTAGAATTTTATTAGTTGCTTCATAGATCGATCATCTGTATCTGACGAGCATTATTCCATATATTTGTTATCCATTACAAACTTATCCAACGAATGTCGTTGCAGTTTTCTTGTATCCTTACATCAATCCATGGTAATTGTTTATGTTCAATAGTATTCAGTTGCCATCTATATGATCCACCAAAGTATTTAGAAGAATATGGGACTCTTTTGCTAAACAAGTTAACAGATTCGCTTTTATAACTTGTTTGGAAAAAGGCCTTTCGAATTTTTGGATGTACTTTAGAATTGTATTGCTACATTGGCCTGATAATTTCGTCTACGCAAAAAGGACTAGTTCATTAACAAAGAACAAAGGTAACATAATCATATTGAATTATTTTATTAAATAATTTTTTATTTATCCATTTGTTTATTTAAAAAAATAAGATAATTTTAACAATACCATCATACTCTAACTTTATTATTATGTAAAGTTGTAAAATACCTCATATTTAAGAATCGCATTGATCCCCAATGGACACCTTCTGATTCATAACTTTAGAGTTGAAAACCCCATGAAAAGCTAGAATAAATACACACTAGAAATGGAAACCAAATTTTCTGGCTGGTTGTATCATAAAACGATCCAGTTAGGCGTCAACGTTTGTCCACCATTAGTTCATTTCCATTAGCACCCCGTAAGTTTGGGAGATATAGACAAACGCTACAATGTCTGAGCCAAAGAATTGCTGGGTCAAAACAATTCTAAGAATAGCATGCCAAGTTGTATTAAACAGAGTAATTAATTTCACATAAGAAAATAACTGAAACAATTATATAAAAAGTAAATTTTTCTACGTCTATAGCTCCCAGAAAACACAAAGAAATAAATGTGTGTGTGAAAGAGAGAAAAAAGGAACTAATAAGAAAAGTCATGGCGGGAGTTAATAAACCACAGGTGGCGGCGACGTTGTTGATGTTCATGATGGTTGCCGCTGTGGTGAAGGTATCGGAGGCGGTGATGGAACCTGGGCCGCAGTATAAGCCATGCTACGAACACTGTGTCGAACAATGCAAAGGGGACGGCAATGGCGACACCTTCTGTGAGATGAAGTGCGACTCTGACTGCATGGCCAAAGACGCTGCAAGTAATAATTTCATCCATTTTCAATTAATTAGTAAATTCAATTTCTAGCAAAAGAGCCCTGCCTGAACAAATTCTCATTGTCTTTTTTCTTGTTTGTTGCAGCTAAACTGAACATAACCCTGAACAATTGACGGAAGAAGGAAAATGAGATTATTCGATCATTCCGAGGGAAATGTTATGAGAAATGGGAAAGAAAAATAGGATACTGGAAGAGAAACATATTGGGTTTGTTTAAATTAAATTAAATTTTTTTTCAATATTATCTTTGTGTTGATTATGTGGTGGTGGTGGAAAAAAAAAACATTTTCATAAGAGATATTAAATAACATCAAATTTTGCTATGATCTACTTTTAATGTTATATGCTTCCTAGCTGGTCCGATTCCGTTCTAAGCAACATCTATAAAATTAAATCATCCCTAGAGTTAAAACCTAAAACAGAAAATGAGCACGTATGCTTTGATCCCTATGACATTCCTTTGGATGAACAGAGAGACACCAGATTTCGCAAAAAGACCAAGGTGAAGAAGGACAAAGCCGCCAACTGAACACAACTATAGTTAACAGTTTACACACCTCGTGGATCGTTGATTAAAATGAAGTAGAGAGTAGTGCAACAAAGTAAAGAGAAAGTGGTTATAACTTATAATGAAATTCAAGATAATCATCGGGAAATTTTGGATAGTGGTGGGTTCGTGTGGGTTCCCTACACAACGATGTCTTTTGCATGTGTGTTTCATACATGGTCTGGTGGAACGATGGTCAGTTGAATCTTGTATAACTAGTGTCGGTAATGAAACCAGTTAGTATACTATCGATAAAATCAGTATGATCGAGTTTTGTCATCTAAACAAAACAGCGTCGTTTGAGTGAATATATTTTAGGAATAATTAGTTTGTGATATATTTCATAAAAGTAAAAGGTAAGTATTGATGTTATTTGTTGGATTCAAGTATAAACGCTTGGATGCTGATGTTAAATGTTGTATTTAAATCTAATTATTAGATATTTTATTTGGATTTAATAGCGTACTTTATTTAAATATGAATATAGATTCAAAGTAGATTGTCTTCAAATATGGTTTATATATTCTTATATTCATTTGACATTAAAGTTTTTTCCCATTTCTACAAATTTTATTAGATCGACATGAACAGACATAAAACAATAGTACTTAAGTCGGACAATACACTTTTTTAACATAGAAAAACGATGAATCGTTCAGTCAAATAGTCAGAGAACAAATAGCAACCACGTCCGAAAGTCGATAAAAAAGTTGAATTTTCGATGAAAGGGCCTGTTTTGCCACAAAATTGGCGTCCCCGTCAAACCTTCAAATGGAAAAAGAACAAGAACAGAACACGAAACTCTTTGCAAGCCTATGAACATCTTCCAGAAGGGCTCCTCCCAAAGCATGGTTATTCGTGCCTGATTGTACGCATTTTACCCCATTTTCCTTAGGCGTTTGTGGCAATTGTGCTCCTAAAAGGGTGGTTTTACGCTAGGTTTCTTGTTTTTTAGCATGTTTCAGGATCTAACAAGTGAAACTAGCCCCGGAGTCGGAAGTTGGACGAAAAGGAGCGAAAACCAGCAATTCACGGTTTCCCTTAGGGAGTTCACGGTCTTCTAAGACCGTGAAGAGGAGCCATGGGCCGTGAACATCAAGGCGTCCAGGGCATTTCCAAAAGTTACTGATGCAGGCGAGTTCACGGTCACTAAGACCGTGAACTGGAGCTGTTGCCCGTGAACCTGAGCTAGCAAAGCGGTGCGTTTCAACGCCAACCTTGAGTTCACGGTCGAGAACTGAGGCCGTGAACTGAGCCCGATCCTTGTTTAAAAGGAGATCTAAAAGGAAGAGAGAGGGAGAGCCCAAGAGTGAGAAAGTGTCTTCTTCTTCAGATTTTAGAGAGAGAAAGAACGAACCAAGGAAAGAAGGCTAGGGTTTGCTCCAAGTGGTGAATTGGGAAGATTCTCCCCAAGAGAATATCAACACAAGCTCAAAGAAGATTGGAGGCATCACCATGATGGTTTCTACCTCTTCCTCTTGTGTTCTTCCCCTTTCTAGCATGGAGTAGTTTCCTTTTTCACTTGGGTGTTTTGAAACCCTAACTATTTACCATGTATTTGTTGTCTGGATTGAATGATTTCTTATGGGTGTTGTTTAATTCAATGATTGAGGTATTTTTCATGTTGATTGTGCATGTTTGTGCTTAGCAATCCAATTGGCCATTCTAATCTAGATTAGAGGGAAAACCACCCTTTCAAGGGAGGCTCAATTGAGTTGGGATTCCTTGGGCTTTTTATCTATCAATCTGAGTACATTTATAGTCTGAACTAGCTTCATACTAGGGGGAACCATACTGGATGACCTTTAACATACTTGAAAAATCGGATTATTACTAGTGTTTTGTTTATTTTGCTTTGAAATCACTTCACTCACTTAGTCCCGCTAGATAATGAGTAGGCAGTAGATCTAGCGCCCGGGTCGATAATTCAAACTAAACCACTATTATACATTTCCATTCTACGATTATACTTGGTCGCAGTTTGGTGTTGTGTTGTAGCGAGTCAAGTTTTTGGCGCCGTTACCGGGGACCCTCTAGGTTATTGGATAAACGTGAACACCTGTTACTTTAGCATTTACTTTTCTGCATTTTGCTTCTTCCCCCTGTCTGCCTTCACGGGTTGTGCTTGACCCGTAGCCAGTGGAGAGAGCTATATCCATTAGATCAAGAGCTTGAACGAACGTGTCGTAACTTCAAGCAAACTTTGCAGGCGGGACTAGCTGTGGAGGAAGGTTTGGAGCATCTGAACATCAACCAGGAGGACGACATGGATGAACCCATCAATGGTGGGGACATTTTTTCGATGAGCATACCATGAGATACTACTGGACCACCAGGGCCGCAGACATGAGGTCGCACATCCAGCACCGTCAAGTTCCAACTAACAACTTTGAGGTGAGCAACTCTATCATCACCATGCTGCGCGGCTCGGTGATATTCCATGGGAAATCGGTCAAGTGCCCCAGAGCCCACCTACGACGATTCCATGAGCTTATCGATGGAATCAAGATTAACGGAGTCCCGCAGGATGCCATTCAGCTGTGGTATTTCCCTTTCACACTGGAGGGACAGGCCAAGGTGTGCCTGGATAACAGACCTCCGAGCTCCATCACGACCTTTACTGACTTGGCCAACAACCCGTTATCATCCCCCATCCAAGACAGCTGACCTGCAGAAGAAGATTACACACTTCGCCAAGGAGGAGGATGAAACCATTCGGGATGCTTGGGAGAGGTATACCACCCTCTTCCTGAAGTGTCCCAACTATGGTTTTAATAACACCATTAAGGTAGGCACATTCTACCATGCGCTCTTCCCTGAAGACAAGCAGTTGATTGACTCGGTTTGTGGTGGGAATATGCTGAACAAGACGCCACCAAAGTTGAACCAGCTCTTTGAAGAGATGGAAGAGAAGGGATATGATTGGGGGACTGTGAGGAGGTCAAGAAGAGCACCAGGCCGAGGTGTGCATGCAGTGGACACCAAGTCGTCTGAATTGGTACAGGTTGTCTCAAAGTTGGTCATGTAGCTGGATAAAGATGGTATGATCTCTGGCGGAGCAGTTCAACAGCCAGTGGCGCAATGTAGTGGTGCGAGAGCCGCCACCACACTGTGGAAGACTGCCAGGCAATGAGGGAGTCTACCACCCCCAGGAGCAGCTAGACTTCATTAGCAATGCTCGGCGTTTCGACCCCTACAGTAAACCTATAACGAGGGGTAGCGCCAGCATCCCAACTTTTCTTGGGGTGGTAATAACAATCCTAAGCCACTAGTCTCTTAGGGAACTTCAGGTTTTTAGAGGCCACCATACTAGGGCCGCCATGGTCAGTTCCAGCAGCAGCAACCACTCTATCTGTCTAGGCAGGGGCCAGCTATTGCTCAACCACAGTAGAGAACATTTCAGCAGTTGGGACCCGCGGCCTCAACCCTACTAAATTCAGCAATCTGGAGCGGTTCATGGAGAAGGCTTCCGAGCAATTCTTGCAGCTTGAGGCGAACTAGAGAAATACACAGGTTGTCTTGCAGGATATGAAGCTCCAACTTGGTAACCTTCAGGGAGTCGTTGCGAAAAAGCCACCGGGTACTTTAACTAAACAGACAGACCCAAATCCACACAACCCGGATGCCCAGCTCAGCGCCATTACCACCAGGAATGGCAAAGTCACAACAAAGATCCCTGTCCCAGCCAAGCAGAGGAAAGAGCCACCTGCTTCAGCACTTCCAACTGACGAGAAAGAAATAGAGAAGGAAGTTGAGGTGCCTGCTCCCACACCGCAACCAGAGGTGAAGGAGTACGTTCCTCACCTCCCATTTCCTACCTGGTTCCACAAAGATCGTTTGAACACTGAGTTTGCCAAATTCATGGCAATGCTGAAGCATGTCAACATCAACATGCCCTTCGTGGAGGCATTGTCAAAGATGCCTAAGTACGCTAAGTTCATGAAGGACCTCCTCACAAACAAGAAGAAGCTCGGGGAGCTCTCGACGGTGATGTTGAATGAGTAGTGTTCTGCCATCTTGTAGAATAAGTAACCGGAAAAGTGCAAAGACCTAGGGAGTTTTACTATCCCTTGCATCATAGGTAGTTTGCATGTAGAAAAGTCCTTGGCGGATTTAGGCGCTAGCATAAACGTCGTGCCATATAAATTATTTCAGAAGCTAGGCCTAGGTGAACTCAGAAATACTAGGATGAGCATTCAGTTAGCTTATATATCTATTGTGCATCCTAGGGGCATTGCATAGGATCTTGTCGTGACAGTAGGACCATTTGCATATCCTGCTGATTTCGTGATTCTTGATATAAATGAGGATGTGGAAGTGCCTTTGATTCTGGGTCGACCATTTCTTGCCACCGCCAAGGCATTTATTGATGTGAATGATGGCAAGCTGATTTTGCGGGCTGAGGTGAACAAATCACCTTTTCTGGTTCTGATAATATGAAACACCCACGGTTCCATGTTGATTTAGACTATTGTGATGTGATTGCTGATTATGAGACCGCACTCGCTATCACGAGTGCGTGTACTAACGATTTCCTCGAGCGTTGATGTGCTAGGGGAACAGGAATCACAGGAGTTGCAGCTTGAAAAGCAGCTCGTGGAGCTGGAGAGTACCGAGGTAGAGGGGCGAGAGAAGTCGTACAAGCCGATCCATGTCTTGCCCCGGATCACTACCTCACTGGAGGAGCCACTAGAGATCGAGCTTAAACCCCTCCCTGCTC